GGGGCGCGGGTGCGAATGGCTTCTCGTCCGGCTACGGGTCACATCACGGTGGTCCAAGCCCCGGGTTGCTGCAGGGCGTTGGTCGGCGTGGCAGCGGGGGCGGCTTAAGCTTCGCTCCCGCGGTGCCGTCCCTGTTTGGAGCGGGAGGCTCACACATGGATTCCGGTGTATACAGGGGTGGAGCAGGGGTGTCGTCCGCCCACCGGCGGATGGAGAAGGTGATCATGGACCAGCGGGTGAACGCGTGGAGCTCGGCGAACATCCGCATGTGGTGCTTCATAAGCTGGAAGTTCTGCAAGCGACAATCTGCAAGTGGCCCCGCGCGCCACTGCTGTGCTTCTGAGTCCAAGTTACGGGGGGTGATTGGTTCACTGTTGCATATCTGTGAAGTCGTGCGGCCTGGTAAATATTTGTTCGCCGTAGGCTCCACCTGTTGGGGGCTACCGCCGGTGCGATTGACAGCCCGGGGGCGAGAACAGAAACGGATCGGTTCCGAGTTTCGTTCGGACATGCGGTTTTGGCGTCTGATGGTAGAAGGGGGCTTGGGGTCGCCGTCGCGGTTATTAACAGCCCCACTTGTTTGTTTGGTTGGTTATGTTTCGATCAACCATATTCGTGTCTTTCGTGGTCAGACGTATCTGGTGATGCCATGAGAGGGTATTTCTTGCACGCCGAATTCTGTTCGGGAGTACGGTGGCGTTTCGATTTCAGTCAGGAAATACGGGAGAGGTTTCGCCAGCAGGCTGAGGGGCGCGATGGTTTGAGCATAAACACGCTCAAAACTCCTCGCGATGGTGGTTGTCGCCTGGGTGTTGATTGTGCAATCGGACATGAGGCCGGAGTACGCCCGCAATAGCATCCAATTGATGGGAGACAACTCCTCTCGTGTGGCCTGGGTGAACAAGTATCGGGGGGGAAGCGAGCCCCGGTCGGGAGGCACTTATGCGTATGCTCGGATGTTTAAGAGATGGGCAGCGGGTGGTGCTTTGAGGCGCTCAGGTTAGGGGTGTCGATAACACGCTTGCGGATGGTATTCCCGATGAGAGCCGGAGACCATGGACGCATGTCTTCGCCTGTCCCGTCCCAATGTCGCATGGCGCCAACTTGTCCTGGGCCCGGAGGTCGCCGATCTTTGTACCGGCGTCTTAGCCGCGAGTACGTCCGCGAGTCAGTTGCGCAGTCGTCTCGAAGAACTTACCTGTCGGGTTGGGGGGCTTGGTGCGCTTTCCGCCGCATGGTTGGTGAGTCGGAGTACCTCTCGGGGGATGCAGATGGTGCTGTGCTGGAACGAGTACTTTTGGAGTGTGTGGCGTGGTGTTGTGCAGATAAGGGTAACATTGCACCGACCATATCCGGCAAGCTCGCCGCGGTACAGTACTTTCATCGAGTTGACACGCAGCTTGAGTTGCCTACCGGTGCGCCTCTTATCAAACGGAGTTTGTTGGGTGTCGCACGTGTTCACGTCCGAGCGGGTACGAAGAGTCGCAGTCGTGTTCCCGTCTCGTGGGAGACGTTGTTGGAAGAACAGCAGTTGACGGCGTCGTGGGGTACAGGTGGCCGCGTGTTGTGGCTGTGTTTGGCGGTGTCGTACTTCCTGGTGGCGCGTTCAGATGAGGTTTTGCCACACTGTCGGGACAATGCCACCAGGTGCATTGTTTGCGGCGTAGCGACGTCGAATTCTTTGATGGGGAGTACGTGCTAGCCCCGTTGCACTGGCACAAGGCCACAGGAGTTCGGGTTCGGTTTCGCGGCCACAAGGGGGATCAGTCGGAGACGGGGGCGTGCGTTACACGGGTGCGCGACGCACGAGGCGCGAATTCTCAGATTGGAGCCGGTGGCAGTGCCGTGGCGGTGTTGGTGGAATTGATGGCGTGCCATCTCGCTTTACCTGAGGACGCCCCTCTGTGCTCGTTTCGCTGTAGGAGGAGCAATACGGTTAAGGTTTGGGGATAATTCCAAAGCTCTTAGCGCCCTTCGCCAGATTGTGGAGAAGGCAGGTGGCGACCCGAGACAGGTTGGCTTGCATTCGTTGAGAATCGGGGCCGCCACCACGTTGGCAGCAGGAGGAGACGTACCGGACAGAATTATACAGAGAGAGGGTAGATGGAAGGAAGGTTCGGGTACGTTTAAAATATACTAGGAATAATATGGTGGACGCAGACATGGTATCCCGTAAACTAGCGAAGGGGAAGAAGACGGAACAGAAGAAGGGTTAGCACATACGAAGGTACGGGCAAAGGGACAGAATGCCATCCCACTAAACGTCGATGTTGGTGGATGTCAATGGTATGGAGTACCATTGGGGGTCTCGGTGTACTGAGACGGCATTTTGTTAGGGCCTACCAGTTGACATGGAAGGGGAACTTGGACTCTGGAGGAGAGAGGGAAGCGACCGGTGTCGTCCCCTCGTTATTGGCCAGAGAGTTACCTTCCGGACTTCGTGGAAAATAATAATAAAAATGACACTTCGGAAAAATACAATAAAGCGAGTATTTCAGATGGATCCAACCTATGGGGGGAGGAGTCTGAATTAGGTGTTTATTGGAGTTGATGAGAAGTGAGCATTTATTATTATGTGCCAAAGAGGATGTCTGCGTGCGTATAGAAGAGGAGTCATGCGCACCGAGAGAAGGCAGCTGCTCGCAGGACATTCCGTTTGCGCCCGATCACGTTGAAGCATCATTAGTGCTGGAGCACAGGGACTGCTAAACGTACGAGTGGACAACACTGCCAGCTACTACCTGTTAAGACGTTCTGTTCCGGGGAGCTAGTGTTGTCGTCTTTCCCACCCACGCCACCCTCGAATTTTTTTTTCCGAAAGAGGGGGGGGGGGGGGGGGGGAAGGCCAGGGGTTGTTCCGGGGGGAAAAATATTTAAAGGGGAAATGTCGAATTTATTGGTTTTTTTCCCCGGGGAAATGGGTTTTAAGGGGCCCATTGGGGGGGGGGAATTCAATGGGTTGGGGGACCCTTGGGGGGCCCGGGGTTCTGGAAAGGGCTTTTTTTTGGGCCCCCCCATTTAAATGGAAGGGGAAATTGGACCCCCCAGGGAAAAGGGAAAGCACCGGGGGCCCCCCCCCCTTTTTGGGCCAAAAATTTCCTTCCCAAATTTGGGGAAAAAAAAAAAAAAAAAGAACCTTTCGAAAAAAAACAAAAAGGGGAAGTTTTTTTTTTGTTTTTTCTAAAAAAAAACCGG